TATAGCTCGACCCCAAAAAAATATTTATTTTGCCGCGACTTCTTCTAGCCGCTGCTTCCAGTAAACGCAAACCATCCTCTCTGTTGCTGTCTAGATCCTTCCATCCACCTTCAAGCTGCTGTCCAGTATTTAGGCTGTTGTCCAGGCCCCATCATCCTCCTTCAAGCTACTATCCAGATCCCGTCATCCCGCTTCCATTACCATCTTGCCTTCTGGTTGTTGTTTAGTTCACTCCATCCCTCTTCAAGTTACTGCCTAGCATTCTGGTTGTTGTGCAGATCACGCCATCCTTCTTTTGGTTGCTATACAGCTATCGACGACCCTCCTACCTCCTGTCCCGACTTACAACCGTTGGTTTTCCACCTCCAGAACCGCAACCACCCCGTTGTCAGCATGACATACACTCACCTTCTCTCCTCCGAACTTTTCGCCATCTAGAGAGGGTTGTTTTTGTCTTGTGTTATTTCTTTTTTCTTATTTTTTCCTTTATTATTGTTGTTTATTGTTTACATGTGTTGTTGTTTATTTCATGTTTACAAGAGTTTCATTAGTACCCTTTTGAATTCAGTAATAATAATTGTGATTTTCATGGTGGTTTGAGCTTCATCCGGTATCATTTAGTATCAGAGCTAACCCAACCTTAGTCGTATCCTAGGATTCCCTAGCAACTGCCCCCACCCAAGCCACCTCCACCAAAAATTCTTGTCCTAAAAGCTTTGACTGAGGTCGAAGCTCCCCCGACCCCAGAAGATTGACGCGGGAGCTTCCTTGGGTTGCGGTGCTGACAATTTCGTGGACATGGTGTTATAGCTGCTTCAATATTGCGGCTCAACCTTTCTTCCTTTTTCTTTTTCGTTTCCCTTTATTTTATTTTTTTCATTTCCCTCCCTTTTTCATTTCTTTTCCATGATTCTTCTATTTTATTTAGTACCTATTCTATGCCTTTCTTTTTTATTTCTATTCTTTCCTAAGCATTACATATTCTATTTACAAATTTCCATTATATATGTGTTGTTGAGTGCTTTAGGAGGCGGTTTGGATGAGTGCAGGTTTTTGAGTGTTGCCATTGAGAAATTCTTCCCCTCAGGGGGATGTACCCGATGATGAGAAGGTGTTTCTACTGTAACTTGTTCGAGGTGGTGACCTTCTCCAAGGGTTCGGGTGATGTGTCGGCTATAACTTAACCATGACGAGACATTTATCCTTTCGTGACCCATTCTGGCGCTGCTTCTAGCAGTCGCAAACCATCCTCCTGCTACTGTCATGATTCTGCCTTCCGGCTGCTGTCCAACATAACGGCTGTTGTTTAGACTCTGACATCCTCCTTCAGGCTGATTTCCAGATCCCTTCATCCCGCTTCTGTTGTTGTACAGCTTTCCGGCTGCTGTCCACATCGTGCCATCCCTCTTTAGGTTGCTGCCCAGCATTTTAACTGTTGTCCAGACCATGCCATCATCCTTCCAACTGCTGTCCAGACTATCGGCGACCCCTCCTACCTGCTGCCCTGACTTCCAGCTGTTGGTTTTCTACCACGAGAACCGCAACCACCCCACCGCTAGCATTGCCGACTCTCACCTCCTGTTCTCTAAACTTGTCGCCATCTAGAGAGGGCTACTTCTGTCCTGTGTTATTTCATTTGTTTTATTTCTGCTTTCATTATTGTTGTTTACTATTTACATGTTTTGTCATTTATTTCATGTTCGTAAGAGTCTCATTTGTACTCTTTTGGATTCTGTAATAATAATTGTGCTTTTCATGGTGGTTTAAGCTTCCTCTAGTATCAAAAATTATTTTGAAAAAACATAAAAATGATATAATTAAGTATATTATAAATCGATCCAAACAAATATGATGGAGTTACCTCGAAAAAAGATTCATAGAGAAGGTTTTAGGTCCCGGTGAGACACTTATTAAAATTTAGAGATTTATAAGGGATTCTATAATGATTTGCTTAACAAATACGTTCAATAAAATTTTGAAGATAAAGAGCATATAATTAGAGGGTAGTCATTTTGTGCTAGAGCTGCAAATGAATTGAGGTTCAACAAACTATTCGTAGCTCGACTTGTAGCTCGACTTGATAAGAGCTTGTTTATGTTTGTTTGATTTATTAATTAAACAAGTTTAAATTCTTTTATAAATAATGTGTAATTAAATGAACAAGCTTGAGTAAATTGTTTAAGTCATTTATGATCACGTACAATATCATTTACAACTCATGAACAAGCTTGATGGGTTGTTTCATTAAAGTTCATGAACAAGCTTGTGAATAAGCTCGATTTAAAGCTTGCTTTTGTTAAGTTAAATTATTAATTAATAATTCATAAAATAAAATAAAAGCTCTTTTGTTTTGTTTTTCATTTAGTGTGCAAGTTTGTTTGTATGTTTGTTTTAGTTGTTCATTTAGTAGCTCATTCCTAAAAGCTCATTTGTTTGTTTTTGTAAGTTCATAAGTAGCTCATTTAGAAGCTCGATAGGGCTCTTTTAGTTAGAAAATGAGTAACTCGTTAGAATTGCTCATTAATTTGCTATGCAAGGCTCGTTTACTTAGAAAAAAGTTGCTCGATAGTACTAATTGTTAATTTACTCAATAAAGCTTATTTAGTTAAAAGTCAAGTAGTTTGATAATATTATACGATGAGTTGCTTGATAATGGCCCGATTATATTTACATGAATCTAATACGAACTAGGCTCAAAACAAGCTCCAACAGTCTAAATGATAAATGAACCAAGTTTGAACACAAACACGGAAGCTTGATTCAAGCTTGAGCTGAGTTCAAGCTCGAGTTTTACAAACGACCTCAAGCTTGAATTGATTTTTTTGCAACCCTATCTTGTGCCAATATTTATGAAGAAAGATGATACTGAAGATTGTGCTAAATACATGGAATCAAATTTATGAATCAAACGATGAAGTATGGGAGAGTAATTGAACTTAGAATTAGAAAAATTACATCAGTTTCTGAGAACTAGTTTAAATTCATGCCAAAAAGATTTCACTATAGAAGTGATTTTTGTGTTAAGATAATTGATAGAGAAGTGTTGATGATAAATAAATCATTTTCCTATATTTTTTTATTGAACATGAGATGACATATGATTGAGCATTAATAGATTTGATTTGGTGTGTTGTAATTCAAAACTATGTCATATATTAGTTATTGTTATTAAAGTTATATATGATGGTACCCTGATTAGCATTAGGAATATTTACGGAGTAACAAAAAGTTTCAATTATCATAGATTTATATTAAGTATCATCATTTAGTCATGTTATTTGTATTGATCATGAAGATGCTTACAAAGAATATTCGAAGCAAGGTGCTTTGGTGTATATTTTTTACAAATGATGCAATTCTAACTAGTTTGACGTCCATTGAAATAAGTGAAAATTGGAAAGTGAAGGAACTGATAAGAAGTGGAGGTCATATTATTAATTGAGCAAAGATTGAGTCTATGATGAGTAATTTTAATGGATTTAGTGAAACAGTTTTTATTTAATATCATTAGAAATAAATTCATATTTAAATGTAATAGAATTATGCATCTTTGATCAATTATATGTAAGTCAAATTGAGATATATATATATATCTTTTTAATTCTATATTTTAAATCTTATTATTAAATAGATAAGTTCCCTGGGAGTTGCGAGATATGGCATGAAGTTTGATTTCATAAAACTTCTATTAGACTGATTATGTTGTCTCTATATGAATAATGGGCTGTAAAAAGATCATTAATATCTAAATTAACTATGATAAAAATGAGCATTAAGATATCAGAGAAAAATTAAGAAGATAAATTGAGGGGTAAATTATATTGGAGAAAAAGTTTTTATGAGATTTATTGAAGATTTGTTGATTGAATTCGATCCTGGTAATTTGGACATGCCCAATTAGAGATTGAAATATACCCGTTGAACTAGTCGATATATTTAGTGTTATATGATTACAAAGCAAAGAAAAGCTAAGATTAAGGCAATATTGATAAGCATTCAAATTAATTTGCGAAGAATAAATTTAAGACCTTTTGACATCATTCAATAGGAACAAGTGAAAATGAGGATTCATAATACCAGTTTATATTTGTGATAAGATTTTTTATGATGTTGATGATCATAACAATCATATTACGTGTATATCCAGATAAACACTGTTTTGGATTCAGCTGCTCAGCTTCTTTATCCTGTAGTACCAACTGGAAATTCATTATCATTATTTGGAATGTTAGAAAAGCCTGCATTTGAAAGTTGACTTCAATACAGAACAATTATTTTTGTTCCAAAACGAAGAACATATAAACAACTTTGTAATGTCAGTATAATTCTTTTATCTTATCCAATGAGCATCAGTAACAATTGAACTGTTTGCATCCAGCATGCAACCGAATATGGAATATTTACTACAGAAAACTTATTTAAGAAAGATGTCAAATAGCCCCCTGATTCTTTGTAGGGGGCAATTTAGTCTTAGAGTCCATAAAAGTGTCAATTTAGTCTCCCACTCCTTTAATGTATTGAAATAGTCCTTGGTGAGGATTATTTTAGTCCCTATTAAAACGATGGTGATTAATTTACGAATTTTATAAAATCTGAGACATAGGGCCTGTTTGCGCTAGCTTTTTGCTTTTCTTGCATTTCAGACTGCTACCACAACTCCATTTATGGAACTGGTATCTTAACACTTTCTAGAAATTGTTGTCATGGAAGCTACCTCTTTCAACTTAATGTGTTAAAGTGTGGTGGCTGCGAGAAAGTTGCTTCTCCGTAACATCTTTGCAATTACCTTTTTAAAAAGCTACAACCATCCCCAGCAGACACTAAAATGACTCGTTGGGAATTGTCAGGGGACTATCTTGGCACATTACTCAGAACTTATTTTAACCACATTATTAGCATTCCTTTAATAGTCCACAATACAGATTTCATTGTAACTGGGTAATTTGTATTAAAATTTTAATCATTACAAGTTTTATATAATTTTACTATTCATTTGGCAGATATTTTATATGATTCATGGTCTCCGGCAATGACTGTAAGCTCTGTCTGCATCAGCATTCTATCCATGCTATCAAGCTCTACCATTAAGGTATCAATTTCTATCCATGCTTTAATAATTTTCCTATAGTACATTTTGTTCAAATCACACTTAGGGAGACATATGGGGCAGTGCACATCCATTTGGCTATTAATTTTTTTAGATAATTACATACAGACCACCCAAGTTATTGATATTTATAAATTAATCACCCTACTAATTTTTTTGAACCACCGAACTGATGTTTTTACACGTGCCACGATCAAACTATTAAAAATTTCATAAAAATGGAAAATATGGGTTGGGATTTTATCATGAATTTTGATATTTGAATGAATTTGAAAATTGGATGAAAGGTGGTTGATTTGTAAATAACAAGTTTCGGGTGTTCTGCATGCGCAATTGCTTTTGAGATTAAGATCTATGAAATTATGATAAATATTAAAAACTTATTTAGCATTACATTTCTACTATTTATTATTATCATTGTCACATGTTTTGTTGTTTTTAGCAACGCCCTGCTGACAATGATCGCTATGTGAAGAACTGCAAGAATGGCAAATCTCCGAAGGAGACGAGGTGGTGGTTTCATGATGATAAAGTATAAACTGCAATTGATACTCATTGGAGGGGTTTGCGTCATAATTTGAAATTTCTTAATGTCATATTTGTAAAGTGAATCATAATTGCTGTTTTCATCTATAATGAACCAATGGTTAATTATGCCATCCATAACTTTTTCTTGCTAAACATATATATCTTGTTTAATCTTTGAGTTGATCTTATGTTAATGATAAATTATTAAAGGGGCATGTACATACATACAAGATACCACCCAATTTTTTTCTATTTACATATCTGACATCGAAATTTTACTTTTAATATTTATATCACATCAAATATATTTATATAAAAAAATTGTTATTTGACAGACTCAAATGCTGATTTTTCATGTGCTAGGCCCTACGATGAGAGTCCGCGTCATGTGCCTAAATATTTGAGAACTCAACGTTACTGGGGATTGAACTCATGACCTGAGGAGACTTATAGCGAATATCGCCAACTCATCGTCATTATTATTAATATTATTAAGAATACAAATTTTTATTTTTCTATATTTATACCGATCAAATCTTTCATATCATAAAAAAATAAAACAACATCAATTTTAAGAAATAATATATATATATATATATATATATACTTCAAAAAAAATTAAATACATCTTTTAATGGGGTATATGTAAAAATAAAAAATTAGTAGTTAGACAGATATATAAAGCTTTAGTTCAGCTGCATTCTAATCCTAGAGATTATCTTCGTAATGGACTCAATGCCTATATAATTATATATCAAACATAAAAAATTTTAATTTTTGCATATATTTCACCTTGCCTAAGGATGTACAGATATATTTCACTTAAAAAAGTGATATTTTTAAGTGATATGAAAATTTTGAGTGGTGGAAATATAAAAATCAAAATTTCAATGTCCCATATTTAAATGAATGGAGTGGTATGTATGTAAATGCCCCTTTTCATAAATACCCATCCAACTTAAAAAATAGAATTAAATTTAAAAAGATAACTCAAATTTATAATTTCTAAGATAAAAAAAAACTTTAATTTTTAAACTTTACTTTTGCATAAAAAAGATGGCATACATGTAAACATTAAAGATTTTGGTTTTTTTTTACATAACAAAATTTTATTTTTGCATAATAAGTTTATATATCATACATATTTTTTACATATATGCCAAGTTATCTAGTCATATAAATATATAGTTTATTTTAAAAAAGTTAAATAATAATATTTTTTGTATGATAAGAAAATGGCCTTCTCTGTTGCACTCTCTTTTTCCGCACTCTCTTTTTCGCACTCTCTTTTTCCGCTTCTTCGTGGCCTTCTCTCCGTTCTCTTCTCTGTTGCAGTCACTTGAGCTGTTCTTAGCGGCTCATGTCATCTCCTCTCCTCCATCCTGCTTGCTTCTCTTCATTATCTCACCCCTACTTTCCTCACAGCGCCGCCGGCTCCTCAGTCGCGCTTCTTTCCCAGGTCGGATACCGCCATGCGTCGTTTCTGTTCGTCCAGTGCAGGTTCTAAAACTTTCGTATTTCACTTCTTTTATTCCTTTCATTTATACTTAAAATTGCGAGTTTAAGTGCAGCTGATTTGTGTTTCTTTCTGATTATGTAGATTTTTCTACTTTCGCTAATGATTTAAGTACCTTGATGAATGATAACTCTATTGATGTTCGGCTTAACCCTAGGCTGTTTGATTTCATATATATATATATATATATTTTTAGTGTTTATTAACCAGCCATTCTCTGTAACATTGATTGTACTTCACAGGTAAAGATGTTTTAGGGTAGAAATTCATGATAACATTTAGAATTATTTTAGGTTAGATTAGAAAATGAGCCGAGTTTGAGCGAGCCCGATGTTTGTTCGTGCTTAGCTCGTTCGATCTTTTTTTTTTATTTTGAAATTGGCTTGTATTCTAAATAGCTTGTGGTTGGCGTGTTTATGTTTGGATTGAATCAAATTCATTTGTTCTGTTCAAGTTTGGGTCTTTTATAAATCGAGCTAAAAAAAATTGTTTGTGTTTGGCTCTCTTTCTTAACAAATGAATCAAACACGAGTCCCCTAGAAAGCTGAATACCAGTTGAGCTTTTTTTATAACCCTAAAAATATTCATTTCCTTCTTTTCAATTGCGAACCTTCTGCAGGAGTAAGCGTTGGGGATATGATTCCAAATGCGCTAGATGTATGATATCTATCCCCAGACAAGCAAAGACCAAAGACTCTGACTCTACTAGCCTTGAAGCATTGATCAGGGAACCACATAAGTATTTCGATCATGTTAACATTACTGTTCGTTCTGGAGATGGTGGCCATGGTGCAGTGCTTAGCATGCCAGCACAGAGAACCAATTCCAAATTACAAGGAAAGCATGAACAAGATAAAAGAAAGAAAGGCTCATTTAAAAGGGATTCAAATGGATCACTAATCGTACCAATGGGTGGGCATGGTGGGGATGTATTCCTGTATGCAGATGAAAGCACAGAAACACTTTTGGAATTTCACAAGAAGAAGAGATATAGTGCAAAGCGAGGAGGAAATGTTGACGCCATGGGCATGTTAACTTCGCTGTTACACGATGGATTTGTGGCACCATCTTTGAGAATTCCTGTTCCTGTAGGTCTGTAAATTTTATTTTCTTACTTAACATACATGCCAACCAATTCATATTTATTTACATATGTAACATCTAAACTTTACATTTATGCCACCAAATCTTTCATATTTTCAAAAAGAAAAAAAAAGATATTTCACTTCACATCTAAAATAATACTATTTTTAACTTTTAAAAAGTGAAATGTGTCTTTTCATGCATAGGTGATAGGTGAAGTGGTAATGTGTCTTTTCATGCATAGGTGAAGTGGTATGTATGTAAAAATTGAAGTTTAGGTGATAGATATGTAAATACACAAGAATTGAGTGGTATATATGTGAATTTTCCTTTTCATTTTTACTTAACAGTGAATGTGTTTGCGTAATGAAGCATTTTTCTATGTGAATTTGAAATGTTTATGATGTTTTACATTGCTCGTTCCTTTTAGTTGCTCTTAATAATGATGCAAGATGAGAGATGGCGAGGGAAAAGGAGGCCTGCTGTTGTGCTATTATTAGTAATTTTTTAGAAGAATCTAGCAAATGATACATACATACGTAAGCTCCATGCACTGATTTTTGAAAATTTTGAAAGATTGAATTGAAGGAAAAATAAATTACATTTCCTATATAGAAGCTAGTAGAGAAGAACGACTATCGTCAACAGTGCTGTGCTATTCTCTTCTGCTTGAAGCATCCGGATATTTTCATCTTATCATCCTTCCCATATCCAATACATATTAGAATTTGTTTTCCTTGACTATCTTCAAACTTTTTTCCATCTAAAAATCTTGAGTATCGAGGCAACATGTAGATTATTATGCTCATCTTTACTCAGTTGTCTGTTGTCTTTAAATTGCCAGTTTTTCCATATTTGATATTGAAGTTGTAAATATTTAGAATTCATATGAAATTGTTGCTGACTTCTTAAGACATGGCAGGTACAGTTGTGAAACGTAAAAAAGGGAAATTTATGGCTGATTTGGCATGCCCAGGTGATGAGATTCTTGTTGCAAGGGGTGGACAAGGAGGGGTTAGTTTTTGATGCCTTGTATATGAATTATCACCATGTTTTTATATTATTTATGCTTTCTGATAGTGTGCTTCCCTAATTTCAATGCTTTTCATAATTTTAAACGATTTTCTGCTTTGAATCAGTGATTCCTTTAAGAAATCAATTATTGAAAGGGGCATTTACATAAATACCACCCAATTCCTATGTGTTTGCACCTAAACTTTTATTTTTACATTTATAACACCCAAATATTTCATATCACATCACAAATACCACCATTTTAAATTTTAAAGTGTGAAATGCGCATTTTCATGCATAGGTAAGGCGGTATGTATGTGAAAATGGAAGTTTGTATTAGATATATAAATATATAGGAATTGAGTGGTATGTATGTAAATCTCCCTTATTGAATACTCGCCTATTTGAATCACTCTGGATCATGATACTCAAACCGTAAAATTGCTCTTCGTGTGTCTTTAGACTCATGAAGTTATTCGTTTCATGATAAGCATAGGAGCAAGCATCAATCCAGTAATTGTAACATAAGGAATTTAGCAGAACTGAAGGCTTAGTTCAAACCAAAGGCTCTAAAGAGTAAAGTATAGATGACTAGAAAAATACACTGTGGAAGCCAAATTCAATAGCAGTAACCAAACACAACTCAATTCTCGAGGGATTACTCAATCCGTCACACCATAAATATGGTATGTGGGATTATCTTGAGATAGAAAATTTCTCATTTTTTATTCTTTGCACTCACTCAATGACAACTTAATTCATTATCTCCTTATATAGAGGAATAACAAGAAAGAAATAGCTATATAATAAAATAAAATAAGGTAAAAGCCATTTCACTTAAATTAAGATATGAAAAATAATTATTTTATAAGAATTTATTGAAGCAATGTGGCATTAGTTTCAACACTGTCCTTTAATTCCAAATTTCTTGGAGATCAACAAGCTCTTTTAAAACATTTAGGTAGCTTGTCGCAAATTTGTTCTTGAACTAGTTCTAAAATGAAATAGGAGATAAACCACTAAGGATGGAAACCAGACCCAAATCCTTAAGTGTCCTTTTACTGCGCATCTTCCCAAATGCATTCAATCTATTTTGAGGAATCAAACGCTTTGTTATCAACTGTAGAAGTAGCAAAATAAGCAATCAAAGAATAATCCTAATCAACATAACTCCCAACATACTTCTTTATCTTGCTCCTCCAACATGATATGAAGATTCTTGATCAAGTTGCCCTCCTTCTTCAATTATAATTTACTTCCCCTTTGAGTTAAAATGATGAACATCATAATTCTAAGGAATTTTATTAAAATAGGAAGAAAACGGGATGGAGAAGAAACACATGTCTAGATATGTAAACTTTCATTGAACAAAATCAATACTCATCTAACTCTTCCTGGACTTATCATTGCCAAGCAACTTAACTTAGCAACCATCTTGTCATGCTTAAGCAATCAGAATATGCATATAACACATTGTAAAAAATGCTTGAAGGTGAAAATAATCATGCTATAGCGAAATATGATTAACACTTATAAGTAGGGGCGTGCATGATTTAGTAAAAACTGCAAAACTGAACTGAACAGGTAAGATTTGGTTGGTTTGGCTCGGTTTCAACAATGGATTTCAGCTTTTGGTTTTTAAAACTTTAATATTTGATTTTCGGTTTTCAGTTCAATTTTAATTTTTATTTGACCGAACAAACCAAAAACCTCTAGTTTTTTAAAAAAAAGTTTATTATATTTTAATTTTATATTGAATAAACCAAAAAAATTAATTTTTTTTGTTATATGCAACATTTGATTGAAATAAATAGAGGATTCTTAAAATTAAATTGATATTGTGTAGATAAAATATTATATTTTAACTGTAATGTTTGTTCTTAGCCAAGCACTAATAAATAATCAAATTTTGTTTTGTTCATAACCAAGCCGTTTAAATCGAATTAAATTTCGATTTTATTTGATCAAAATTTAGATTGGTTTGGTTTTCCGGTTTCTGGATTTTGGTTGCAATCAATTTGACCAATTTTAAAACTGATCCAACCAAATCGACAAAATGCTCACCCCTAAAGAGGAGTTTATTAATGACATGCACTCAACCAAAAACTCACTTTTAAAATTCTTAGCTTGAAGCTTATTTCCAACTTTCTAAAAATATCAATTTTTCCTTTCAACCATAGTTATATTTTGGAGTATGAAAGCAAATAAATTTTATCCAAATTCCACACTTTATTGGATAACTTTAAAGGTCCCTAGAATAGTGTAATTTGATATCAAAGCCTAACTAGCTTCGAAGGTGGAGAAGCAACAACATTACCAGGTGACCATCACACTTTACAGAAAAAGCTCAACTCTAGAATCAAACAGTGAGAGTATCCTCAATGGAATGCCCAACGACACCCTAAATCCATGTCAGCTAAGATGTGCTTCAAGTGTCACAGTTTTGAAAAAATTGCATCCGATTGCCCAAATAGGAGGGGGGATTGAACAAAGAGTAGTTGAAAAATTAGACAATGATATAGGAGATAATGATGATGTCATACAGGAGTATCAGCTTCTAGCCCATTAGAGAGAGATGTTATTTACTCTAAGAATCCTTCAAATTAAGCCCAAGAGAGAGCAGTAGTGGCTCCATAATTTTCATACCAGTTGCACCATTAAAAGAAACGTGTATAATCTTATCATAAAAGCTAACATTTATGAGAATGCAATCTACCCAAATAATAAAAAAATTGAATGTGGCTACACAAAAGCACACTTGACCTTTTTTGTCTTGGAGACAAGTTGACATGAGGCATCCAATGGAGCTATCTATTGGAGACAAGTTCTAGGAATAAGGTGATGTAAGATGATACCTTTGGATGCTTATCACATTTTATTAGGTTGTCTTTGGCTGTACAATCATTGCACACATCATGATGCTACAAGAATACATATTCTTTCACAAAAGATGGGAAGTATGTTCTTCTCTCACCTTGGAAGTGGTCTGAGATAAAGGGATCAAGAATATGATGTCATGAACTATTTTTTTGCAAGCCTTGAGAAACGCATTAGTAAAATTAATATTGATTGTCCTAAAAGATAATGAGTTTGAGGAGCCAATACCAAACACTAGACAACTTCTAGTGTGAGGGTTGCATAATATTTTAACTACAGTTTACCTTCTGAGTTGCTACCACTAAGAGGGATTCAACATGCTATATATTTGATCCCTGGGTAAGTACTTCCAAACAGACTTATCTTTCAGATGTGCCCAATTAAGTAAGAGGAGTTGAACAAATGGGTTAAAGACTTAATGACTTGAGTTTTGGTTCGTGAGAATACTAGCTTATTTGTAATTCTAGCCCTGGTTGTGGCAATGAATGATAGATATTTATTCTACCACTCTAGAATTTGGAATGAAGCACGTGTTCCAAACTTGCCTTGAGTAGACATCAACATAAACTTTATAATGTGGTTGCCCCAAACACAACAAGATACTCATTTTGTTATTTGGTGATAGATCAATTCTAGAAGCATACAGTGAAGAAGGTGAAACCCCTCCTACCTTGGGAGAATGATGCGAACTACTTATATAATCAAACTGAGCAGTCTCTTAATCTGGGGACTTCTTGCTTGGTTCATGCTCTTTGGAGGCCTTATTCTCTAGTTTTCTGCTCTAAGGAGTATTGTATTGTCTTCCCTTTGTGAGTTGCGTGTTTGTATTTTGTTTAGGGATAAGTGATGGATCTCTCTTGGCAATCATGTCTCATCAGAACCAACATCCGTGGTTCTCTTTGCTATTTTCTGCTCCAACAATTGCCAAATGCTTCTTCTCCCCTCTCAAGCGCTACTGACCTCCCATATTATCTTTCCATTGTTATCCAGCTTCACTCTAAATGTACTTTCAATTCTACTTTCTACACCCCTTCTAGGAATCCTAGAACTGTATCAGGTTTGCATTTCAATATATCTTTATTGACTATTTTTAATTGATTTTTAAATCTTTCAATATGTTTTTGATTCATAGAAGCTCAAAGATCTCTTAGGCATTGATTCTGAAGTCAACTCCAACACTTGATCTTGAAATCATAGATTATTTTTTGCTTCTGTAAGTTATGGGATTTTTACTAATAATGTGCAGTATTCTAAAGTGGGACATTTAATTCACCGGTGATCCAGCATAGTTTGCATATTTGTATACATTTTGCATATAATTTTTATTTTTGGGTTTGATTTAAGATATTTGAGAATTCTATATGGGGCTTGAAGGTATGATTCTTTAGATTTGTGCATGAATTGACTGGCTATACTTACTGCTATTGCAATGTTAGGATGGGTGTGGGCTACTAACCTTTGATAATTGTTGACCTCATTTTCGGATGAGGTCTTCACTTCTCTTTTTAGAGCCTAGGGTCTAGCTTTAGGCTTCTCTTGTTTGACCCTCCTAGAAGACCAGTACGGAACCCACACCATTTAGAAAATTCGAGCCTCCTCGTCACTCCTTCGAGTTTCGCATGGGCGGTCCCAAATTCTCGCCATTCCGGTGCGGTGTTTAGGAACGA